ATGGGCCTGGCCTGTCACTGTGTTCTACTTAATTCTCATTTTTTTATTCTTCCCTGTCTTTATTTTCTTACCCTAGTATATTGTTTATGTTGCACACACACAGACACTAGAAACATTTTTCTAATTTATTATGATATCTTCCATGAAAAGGGAGTGAAGCAGTTCAGGAAATGGGAGATTTTAGAGACTCTTAAAACTGCCAAAGTGTGGGCTGAGGAACTTATTCTGGTTACGTAAAAGTTTCTTCTGTGCTGCTTCTAGTTTTTGTTAAAGGCAATACTGCCCTCTCGTGTCCAGAAGCCAATTCCAGCGCATATTTTCTCAATTAAATTGCTTGTTTTACTCATCCAGTTTAGAACTTCTTAGAAAAACAAGTAACAATTATTTAAGACACGGTGTAGTTTGCTAGCTTGAATTTCATTGGATCAGGTAATTTGGGGTCATACTAGAGTCGTCTGTACAATAATGCCCCTCATCTGAAAGGTAACATCCAAGTTTTTTGTTTGTTTGATATTACTTTCCTCCCTTTATAAGGAAAGTGTTCCCAATTCTTATTTTAAAAATATGATACATTGGATCATTGCCAACTTTTAAAAAGCTAAATCATTATTCTCCTTCCTTCACTTTTGTAACTGATGTGTCATTTTTCATTTCATTCTGGATATAAATCGTAATTTCTTTTGCCTGTGTTTTTTCTTCACAAGCACGCCTTTCATATAATGATAGAGGTAAGATGCATTGATGTTTGTTTTATGGTTGTGGAACTTTTTGTGGATGCATATTAAACATTTGTTCTTAGATTTTTGTTGTTGCTTTATTGTGCATCCTTTATAAATTTGTGTTATGAATTTTTTTTTTACCACTTTTAGTATTAAAAACATGATTGATTTGCCACAGTAATACTTTTTGGTTTTCAAAGAGTTGTTAACCGCATTTATACTCATCTGAGTTGGAATGTAGAAACTTAGTTGATTAGATGTTAACACCTAATGGCTAGTATGTCACTAGCTTAATGTCAGCATATGCTCATTTTTACCAGGAGCTGACTTTCTGGTGAAACCCATCATCCTTTAATGTGAAATCTGTATTTTCAGATCGTTTCTTTCATCTTTAGTCTCCTTAGCAAATGGGCTGGCTAGAGAAGTATAAGTTGATCTTTTGCTCTCTAGAGTTTGAAGGCTTTTAGATTAGAATTTACCCTTCTCACTTGAGAACTCAGAAGAAATATAATGATCATAGACTACTTAGCAGCTCTTCACTTCTGCTAATTTATTCCAGTCTTGAGTATAGTAATCCTACTGGGTAGCAGTGTTGGGATGGGGGCATGATTTTCAGTGATTGCCATTTGTTGTTTCTCAGCATGATGTCTCCTGATGCCATAATTTTCATATACAAATGGGTAAAGAAGAGATGTAAGTGGAGGCACGTTCTACTGCATGTCTTCTTAACTGTGCAAAATAGCGGGATTGCAAGAGAACTGGAGACTTAGGAAAAGTTTTCAGGAATTCCCCAGTCCTTACAGTTGATCCCCCAAAAGCTGGTTTTCTGTGTAGCGGGGCAAAGTCATGTTTTATGATAATATCAGAATGTTGCTGTCATTATGAAGTTCAAGCCCGAATTTGTCTCGCCAGGTGTTGATATATTTTAAAGGTATAAATCTTTATTCCTAGAATCAGGTACAGTTGACCCTTGAACAGTGCAGGGCTTAGGGGTGCCAATGCCATGCACAAACCTGTGTATAACTTTTTACTCCCCCAGAACTTAACTACTAAGTTTTGTGACTAATAACACAAATGGTTGATTAACATATATTTTGTATGTTATATGTGTGATATGGTATATTCTTATAATAAACTAGAGAGAAGAAAATGTTATTGAAATCTTAATGAAGAGAAGATACATTTACAGTACTGACTATACTGTATTTATTAGAAAAAAATCCACATAGAAGTGGACCCCTAAAGTTCAAACCCATGTTATTCAAGGGTGAACTGCATTGAGTTTTTTGTGGGTAAATTAGTATAATGATGCTCATAAACTACAAATAATTTGATAGTCTCAGATGATAGGATAAGTAAAAGCCAGATATTAGAGATGCAGTTAAAGCTTCCTATAAATTTAATGAAGAGCTGAAAAGTATGAAAGAGAATATTCTAGTAATTTTTCATTAAAAAAGTAAAAAGGCATATTGGCATTATATATTTTATAGAGTTATGGTCTGTATTTTAGTTACTTGTTTTTGAGTCTCACCTTTTAAGTATTATAGAATATTACTTAAAAGCACATACCATTTCTAAAAGTTTGACATTCTGTAGGAATGTGCCTTTGTAGACCTTTTCCTCACCCTTTAAAAATTTGCCAGTATTCTTACTTTTAACAATAGTCTGTTTCAGGCTGTTATGATATAAGGCTAAATAGAATAGTAGTATCATTAGGAGAGTGAGCTAAGATTTTTTACTGATAATGGTAGCTTAGAAACTTACCCAACAAAGACTTGGAAACTTATGGGAATCTTGGAGTTTATTTGTGCTTTTGGAAAATATTCAGTGATCTTTTTTCCTCCAAATACAGACATTGAAAGTTATTGTATGTTTCCTAAAATTAAGGTTAGTATTATATTAAAATTATATTTTAAACTGGTGACATAGTCTTAATTTGAGATGTGGATTAAGTCCTCTGAATCCTGTTTTATAGACTGGATCATATCCATGTGGTTGGTACGCCTTAAGACAGAGAATGGGTGATGTCATATGTTATCGAGAGACATTATTAGTTTATATTAAAAGTTATTAAACATCTTAATGTTTAAGTTAAGAGCCATTTTCTTTACGTGGTTGTTTTGCCTCTTGAGCTTTCAGCTCTTATCTGCATACTTAAATTTTTGGTATCCCTGCTTTGAAAACTCAACATTTCTGACTTAGTTCTAAAGAAGGGGAATCATTTGGTATCCCTGCTTTGAAAACTCAACATTTCTGACTTAGTTCTAAAGAAGGGGAATCATGGTTATTTAAATTTTTTCAGATTGAACTTTTTTCTGTTAGCATAATTATTTTATGCAGTTATCTAATAATTCTTGGACTTTGAGCATGAGTGGTTTCCTCTGCCTCTACAAGACTAGTTTTCCACCTTTTTCCCTCCCGTCTCCACATCCACATCCGCAGCCTGCTCCTATCAGTAGTATCTCTTGTTACAGTTATAAATGACCAGTCAAGCAATGAGGTGTAGGGTGGGTTTAAGTTTGATAAAACCTCTCCCTAGAGTCTTTCTTGTGTCCCTTTCCAGTGAGAATCATAACTTTAGGGGCCATACTTCTTTAAGATTTGTATCTGACTTTCTGGACTCGTCACTCTGTTAAACTACAACACTCTTCAGCTCTACTATAACCTTTTGTCTTTTGAATGTGTGAAGGCAAAGCAACTTTTTGTAGACATTTTAAAAATATCTGAGGTTGAAATGAGTCACAGGAAGTTTTCTAGTTTATCATACTATTTTATTTTTTTTATTTATTTTTAAAGACTTTATTTATTTATTTGACAGAACGAGAGAACACAAGTAGGCAGAGAGAGAGGGAGAAGCAGCCTCCCTGCTGAGCAGGGAGCCCAATGCGGGGCTCAATCCCAGGACCCTGGGATCATGACCTGAGCCGAAGGCAGACGCCCAACCGAGCCACCCAGGCGCCCCTATCATACTATTTTAAAGTAGGAATTCTCAAGCCATTTTGTAAAGGATTGCCTACAAAGAAATTGCACCTTTGTCCTCTTTAATACCTTGCAGTATTTCTATTTTTGAGGGTCTTTCTAATGCAGGTGTCAACTGTTTAAAATCTTGAGTGACACCAGTGGGCTGAATAGCACCCAAAGGGAGCACTGACAGTCTTGGGGCATTAGAAGAGGGGATTTTTTCTTAAAAGGGGAGGAAAGGAAGAGAGAGATGCAGTGATACAGGAGGACATACTATTTCCATGTGACTTAGATGCCACCCAGTGTCACAGTGTCTGTTGCTGTTGCCACAGAAATTTTAGTTCTTCTTTATAATACTCATTATGCAGCCCTTCATACATTTTGATTACTTTTCTCTGGAAGCTTTTCAAAAGGCTTCCTACATCTTGTTTTAGTTGTAGATACTGAAATGATACAATGCTTCCAGTGAGGGTTGCCATTCTGCTTTGTATAGGAAGGATGCTCTTGTGTTTTGTAAATGTTGTACCCCTATTTATATACTATATTTGCTCCATTTTCAAAATTAACTATAGCAGTACACTTTTCTTTCATTTATCTTGCCATCTATTACGATGAACACTCATTTTCTGGATTACAATTTCTGCTTTCTTTGCCAATCAGACTAATAATTTTTATCTCAGGTCAATTTGGGGAAGTAATTATAAACAAAGGATTTGTTAGTAGGTTGAAAAATTAGAATGAACAGAAAAGTTTGGCTATTAACATATTTGTGTGCTTTGTATTTGATACACTTATCTGCAATGTATTTGAGAATGACTATGTGCATTTCTGAGATTAATGAAGAAAAGACTTAAAGATAAACAGTCATTGGAGAAAGTAGTGGATTTTGAGGATTGTTTTCCTTTGAGAAATAGCTGTAATTTGCTGTTGCTGGCACTTTTAAAATCCTCATCTTCTAATGAAGTACCAACTTGATGAAACCGTTGAAATACTGTTCATAATATCCTAAAGGTTACAGAAAATCTTAGTCCAGAAAATTAGTGAGACTGACTCAGAATGATTTGAGGTCATTTCTCCCTGCTGTACTTAGATAGCAATAGTGCCAAATGTTATTATGAAACCTCTCAATTCAAGTGGCTTGCCTTACGATCACTGTAAATAACTAGTAATGCTTGAGAACTCAGTTCTAGTAAGATTGAAGTTAGTGTCATTTGTATGTGTTTCCTGTTTCTGTCAATTGATTCCTTGGTATATCACTTTTTTTTCCTCATATTTAGCACTGATCTGCTTTCTGATACTAGTGTTATTGTTTATCTGTAGGACCCAGGACCACCCCCACCTTCTCCATTACTAGGTTTGAAGCCACTGCAGTTATTAGAAGTGAAAGCAAGGGGAAGATTTGGTTGTGTGTGGAAAGCCCAGCTGCTCAATGAGTATGTGGCTGTGAAAATATTTCCAATACAGGTATGTTCTTGCGTCTTTCTCATCTGCGTATATTTTGTAAAAGGTGCAACTGGCTCGATTATTGTAATTCCGAAACAGTCCGAAAACTCAAACCACGTTTCTGGGTGGTTCTTTGTGATACTGAGGAAAGAGATTAGCCCTTTTGTCTGCCTTCTCATCTGAGGAATGGGACTCATGGTACAGCAGTCCTTCTGTCTGTTCGGAGGGTTGGAGTTCCAGTGAATGAACATAAAGGAGATCTTTTGCCAATAAAGATACTACAGAAATGTAGTATTAGTGGAGGATTCCAGTAATAGAATTTCGTTGGTTTACTTTTAATATCCCATTGACATTATCAGAAAACGAAGAGAAGAATGAAAGAATAGCATACTGGTTTTAGAATTGTTTAGAGGTATATTACCAGACTGATTCATTTTTGTCTGTCTTTGAGTGCCCATGTAATCATTTCAGATTTTGTTGGGTGAATTTTCAGAGGCAGTGAATCAAGATTTCAAATAATTGGTTTACTGTTGACTTGTTTTTCTTTTAAAGGGGCCTGACCTCATAAAACCCTGGTCTAATGCACCTCTGAGCTGTTCTTATGTTTTGTTTGAGTCCATTGGTGGTAGAGATCTATGCTGATTTCTTCATCCCTGTCTCTTGCTTCACACCCCTCTAGTTAATGCCTTGTGTGCTGCTGCGGTCCTTCTTGGGTTTGGTGATTCAGGCTCCGCCCGTGTATCTATCTGCACAGTGGGTCTTCCTCATCCCAGAGTTACAGAATCCGTTTTTTCTTTTGTCTTAATATACCTAGCTTTTATCTTTGTTGCCTCCTCTAAAGCCTTTTTTGGTAGCAGTGCAGATACTTTTAACACTCTGGTTCTTAATGGAAGAGTCTAGTCTGTTCTGCCAAGATTGACAAATTCAGGGTTGTTCTTTCTTTGTGGGAAGAAGCTTAAAAGTTAAAGAAAGGCCTTTGGATATTAACACAAGGGTAACAATAGCAAGAGTAACAGTAGCTAATATTTTATTGAATGCTTCTTATTGTCAGGAAGAGGTGCTTTATAGAGGAGTACTCAGTAATAGGTGTCCATATATTACCCATATATAGAAAACAACACACATATACATAATACAACAACCCTATGGAGCAGATACTGTAGTCCCCATTTGCTAATGAGGAAACTGAATGATTGTCACTCGGCAAAGGTCCTTAAGATTGTTTGGATCCGGAGGGTTCCTAACCATTACGCTGTGGTGCCTCCGACTTTCATTATTCTTCCATTGTGAAGAGAAGCTAACTCTTTATGAGTAGACACGTAGGCAAGGAGTAGGCATGGGTTGCTTGCAGTCACAAATGAGTATATAGTGCTTTAAATTATTGTATTGCCTATTTATACCCTATCGTGCTCTCATTGACTGAGCAGGGTATTCTCAACATTTTAAAAACGTTTGATATAATGTTAATCTTTGAACAAAAAAATTGTCTTCTATTGAGATGAAGTCATTCTACCTGAAATTTGTACTTCAGGGAGATTATTCTGAATAACCACAAGTAACTTCACACCATGATGAAATGACACTGTATTATGAAATTGTCAGCAGAACACATTCTGTGTTGCCATTGTTAGATAGATACAGATGTGCACCATTTCTGATGATAACTCCTGTATTTACAAACTAGAAACACAGAAAAGTATGTTTCAGGGAGTGGGGCAGGGCAGGCATTTGTCATAGAGTTGTTATTAGATTTCTTTTAGGAAAAAATAAGACAAAATCAAAGAATCTTTTCATACTTAGCTTTATTTTTAAATTTTGCCTTAGAATCTACTTGAGTAATCTCTTAGATATGGTTTATTTATTTATTGAGTTCTTTGCACTCTTCCTATTCTTTAACTCTAGGACAAACAATCATGGCAAAATGAATATGAAGTTTATAGTTTACCTGGAATGAAGCATGAGAACATATTACAGTTCATTGGTGCAGAAAAACGAGGCACCAGTGTTGATGTGGATCTTTGGCTAATCACAGCATTTCATGAAAAGGTAAAACTACTTTCCGTTTTAACTCGGGAAAGTTTACCTCCTTAATGTTGGCTACAAATCCCTCAGACTTGTTTTTCTGGGAACAGTATGTTGTTATAGTTAGTTAATATTTATAAATAAAAATCCTTTAAAAACTAATTTTAAGAAAAGAGCAAAATGGCAACTTTTTCACCTAACGCTCTACTTATATAAAACCAGTCTTTTGTCCCTTATTTCTTATGCTGCAGTTACCTCTCTTACAAATAATTATTTCATTGTAGCTGGTGCTTAGTCATTTTCATTTACCATTCATGATCCATCTTGATTATGTGGACCATTTTTTAGCTTGAATTTTGTGTAGCCTAGTGACAGAACTAGAGTCAGGAGATTGATCTTTGATCTGTCACTAATTCGTAATTATCACCAAAACGCAGTTGCTGTTTTCCCTCAATTTTTCTCCTTTCGTAGTTAGTATGAAAGTACATGTTAATGAAATAGGAGATTGTGTTGACTTGGCAATTAGTTTCATCATTGTCAGATCTAGGTGGCTCTTACATGTCTCTAAATTCTTGACCAGAAGGATAGTAGTAATCTCTAGAGGAAGATTCTGACATAGTTGCTTATATGTCTTAATTTTGTGTTTTCCTAGACCTATGATATAACTAACATCTTTGTAGTCAGTGTATTTTAACTTTTTAAGTATTTTCCTGAACTTTAGATTTTCAAATAGTGTTTTTTTTTTTTTTTTAACTTCTAAATAGGAATGCCTTCAAAATAGGAAATTGTACCTTGTAGCAAACCTTTAAAGATTAGAGGTATTCCATTCTAGTCAAATGTTTACTAATGTGAAACTTGAACCCTTCCAGAAAGATTGTTTTTGTTTTTGTTTTTGGATATTATTATTCACTAAAAGTAAAGATATTTTGCTTTCCATAATCTCTTAAAAGTAAAAAGGAAAGTTCTCCATGTCAAATGGCTTTTGTCCAGAGCATAAGTTGTTTTTTCCCCCCTTTTCTTTAGGGTTCACTGTCAGACTTTCTTAAGGCTAATGTGGTCTCTTGGAATGAACTGTGTCATATTGCAGAAACCATGGCTAGAGGATTGGCATATTTGCATGAGGATATACCTGGCCTAAAAGATGGCCACAAACCTGCCATATCTCACAGGTAGAGCTAAATTTATATTATTTTCCCAAATAATTCAGTATTTATTATTTAAACTTTTAATCTGTGCAAAATTTGTTTTCCCCCTAACTACGTAATCATGCTAGAGGAGGCAGTTGATTTTCATTGATTTTCAAATTAGCTTTGAGAATGGCCAGGAAGTATTTTGGGTAATGTATATATTTAGTATCATTAGCAAAGTTTAATTACTGACCTGTGTTTTAATTTATCTTATTTCTGAAAGCATGGTTAAGAGTGAAGTGTATTTTGTCTATCTCAAAGGAAAAAGAAATTTGTTTTGCCTTAAAACATGATTTACTTCAGGGATAATTATAAGATGTAATTAAGGAGGGACTTTGAGTATCTTTTTTTCTTGTTTGTAATGACCATGTGATCATTACCTGAGCTGAGGTGGAGGGAGGCATCGTTTGAATAACTGGGCTTGAAGCAATAGTACTTGAACCCAGTAGTTGTCATACCCTCAAAAGGGAAAATGTTAGTTCCTTTAAACGTGGGATCAGTTTGCCATTGTGTATTCAATTTAAAGATAGTTGCTTTAGAAACAGACCTGTGAGTACAGAGAACAAACTGATGGTTGGCAGAGGAGAGGGTGGGGGTGGGAGTCTGGACAAAATGGATGAAGAAGAGCAGGATACAAGCTTCCATTTATGGAACAAGTAAGTCGTGGGGATGAAAGGTACAGCCTTAGGGAATATAATCAGTGGTACTGCATGGTAACAGTTGGTAACTCCTCTTAGGTGAGCATAGCGTGATACATAGACTTGTTGAATCACAATATTGTACACTTGAAACTAACGTAACATTGTGTGTCCATTATACACTTAATTACAAAAAGACGGTTGCCTTAAAAGTAGGTACGAACTGGGGCGCCTGGGCGGCTCAGCCGTTGAGCGCCTGCCTTCGGCTCAGGTCATGGTCCCAGGGTCCTGGGATTGAGCCCTGCATTGGGCTCCCTGCTCAGCGGGTAGCCTGCTTCTTCCTCCCCCACTCCCCCTGCTTGTGTTCCCTCTCTTGCTGTGTCTCTGTCAAATAAATAAAATCTTCAAAAAAAAAAAAAAAAAGTAGGTATGAACCAATTCATTTAGCAGATAATTGAGTGCCACCAGTTGGTGTTTTAGGTTGCTGGGAGGCATTACTTTTAATCCCAACTCTGAAATTGATTTTGCAAACCTTGAATGATTTCTACCTCAGAAATAGCTCCCCTTTTTTCTCACCTTCCTGCATACAGTCTGTCTCTTCCTGGATTTTTGCTCATCTCACCTAGTCCTATAGGGAACTAATCCTTTGGCACCCCCAAAGCTTAGTAGAAGTAGTGTTCCTAAAAATCTTTTGAGGCTAAAACTGATCGGTTTTGGAGCATTTGTGGGTGACTACCTGTGTCTCTTCTGTCCCACTCTTGATCTCTGTGTGCACATAAATTTCACCACTGCTCATGGCATAGATGTATGTAGCTAGAATATAGTAATCTCTAGGATGAGTCAGTTGAAGCTGGAGTGTGAAAGAAGTTATCTGATTGCTTTAAAAGGGTTACTCTTTTCAGAACACCAGGATCTAGCTGGAGCAGTTTGTTTATGGTGAAAATTTTCTGATATACATTTCTAGAGATGCTTTTCTACAAGGCTGAGGAATCTAAGAACCACTAAAATAAGGGTCCATTCTAATATGTAGGCCTGTACCAGTAGGCAAAAGGCCCCAATTATTTGAATATTCTTTCAGTTTGGTTTCTTTCTTTCTTTCTTTTTTAGTTTTTGATGTAGTGTTCCATGATCCATTGTTTTCGTATAACACCCAGTGCTCCATGCAGTACGTGCCCTCTTTAATACCCATCACTGGGCTAACCCATCCCCCCTCCCCTCTCCCCTCTAAAACCCTGTTTGTTTCTGAGTCCATAGTCTCTCATGGTTCATCTCTCCTTCCGATTCCGCCCCCCCCTTCATTTTTCCCTTCCTTCTCCTAATGTCCTCAGTTTGGTTTCTTAAATTTCAGTTGCAATGGGTGTTTCCAACTATAAACTCCGAAATATTCGTTTTATCTCAAAAAACCAGCAATTTTATGATTGTAGGTAGGAATAACAGATCACATGTAGGCTAGACAGTATTTTTGGAATAGCAGCTCTTTAATAAAACTGCTTTATGGACAGAGTTCCTTCTTATTGTCCATGTTATGAATAGGAGTTTGTTACTCTACTCTTGGTGCTTCAAGCTTTTTCTCCCTCCTTTTTCCTGTTTATCATACTTCTGTAGGTTAATCTCCTTCTTCCCCACTTTCAATGAAAATTTTTAAAAGATAACTTGTTTAAAATTAATTTGAATACTTTATCTTTCTATTTGCAAGGGACATCAAGAGTAAAAATGTGCTGTTGAAAAACAATCTGACAGCTTGCATTGCTGACTTTGGGTTGGCATTAAAATTTGAGGCTGGCAAGTCTGCAGGTGATACCCATGGACAGGTAAGGATAGTAACTATAAACTATAAGAAAAAATAATCTTGTCCCATATTTTCTTAGAATGGCACATCTAGATTGAATTGATTAATATTACTGTGATGGTTATTAAATCAGCATCTAATATAAAATGACTCTCTTAAAAGTAATATGTTAAATTTGCTGAGGAGGACATTTTCATGTGGTGGTGAAGGACTGTTGGGAACTCAAGTGGTTTACATCAGTCAATTCGTAAAACAACTTAGACACATGTCATGGGATTCTATTTTTAAAACTAATCAAGTTAGACTCCAACACACTTAAACAGGCCTCATTCTTAGGGAGTTCTTGGTAATAACACAGTAGTTTTGTTAATTCTTTCATCATCCTAAGAGGAATGGCAGAACAATCAGTTACTATTCATGCTACTATGTATTAATATCTATTGCCTGATTTTTCCACGCAACAATTAGAGTTTCTTGCTTCTTGGTCTTTAGTGCTTCATTAACTCTTTAACCAATTTTACAGCTTTTCTTTGAATTCTCTCCAGAGTTCAGAGCACTTGCAAAGCCCTGAGCAGAGAGCCTAATTAACTCTATCTAGTCAAGGTCTGTACAAAGAGCTCTGAACAATGGGAATCTTTAAAAAAAGCCAAATAGGAGAAAAGCATTATCCATATATTTTATTCTTAGAAACTGTGAGGCGAGGAAAGGTGCTTTCACGCCTACAAGATCACCTTTTTATTAAGAAAACCAGTTTGACCTGAAAGGTGACGTTTCCTTACAAAGTTGGCATGATTATTTCTTCATCTTTCAAATCATGTAAATTACTTTGGTCATCTAATTGTCAGCTTTCGTTTTTCCCAGTATATCCTACTGACCTCCAAGAATAGTTATTAAAGAATCACAGCATAACAAATTTTGGCAATACTGACTGATGATACAAGAATTTAGTTTACAGCAATGGTCAGCAGTCAGAGTTCTAGAAAAGGTGATACCAAATGTGTTTGGGAATGAAGGCAGTCTTGTGGAGTATATTGCGGAGGAGGGAGATTGTGCAGGAGGCCCAGGGAGCTGACTTGAGTGATTATCATAAAACTAAATGTGGGGAACCGTTGAATCCTCTGGCACCTCATAACCCTCTTTCCCCCTTTTCTAATGAAAAAATTTTGAGACTTTTTCCTATCTTTTACTGTCCTCTCAATTGGTTTACATGAGGAGGTAAAAATAATTACTAATTACATCACTGGTTACTTGACTTTAGACTTCTTGGACCAGAAAATTTCAAAATTCACGTTATTGTACATTTTACATATATAAGATTTTCTTCACTTCACTAAGAAGGTAGTTGTCACTTTATAAGAAAAGTACTTTGGATGGCATACATTCTTTTTTTTTTCTGCTAAGAACTTTTTTTCTTACATTCAATTAGCCAACACATAATAATACATCATTAGTTTTTGTTGTGTTCAACGATTCATTAGTTGCATATAACACCCAGTGGTCATCACCACATGTGCCCTCCTTAATACATTTATCGTTAGGAGAAAAGTAAACTTTTGAGAAATGCTTGCTTATAGTACAGTTAAAGATGCAAAAAAGAGCTAGTATTTTTTTTCTTTCTTTAAAGTGTTCTTATTAAATGAATTAAAAACTTGAGCTTTGGAGTCTTAGTGATCTGCCCTTTTTTAGACATTTCTATTGTATGTGTGTTCACAGATAATTGTCTAACTTGTAGTCTAGAGATCAGTCACCTGAGGATAGAACTTTTTGGAATACCATTATCTGGCCACTCCCTAGATCTCCAAAAACTCAATTAGAGTGTGATCCACCCAGCTATCCTATAAGAATTTTTTAAGCATTTATATGTGAATATTGTCAAGCACCAACCAAGGCTAGCTATAGTAGCTTAGTAACCATAGTTCCAATACTAAGAAATACCAAATTGTTAGGGACAGATATAAGACAGAATTCATGAATGAATAAATACGTACACGTTGTAGAAATAGAACTTTTAAAAGTTTATCCATTCTTTACTTGGCTAATTCTTCTTAAGTTTTATATTACTACTTTTTGTTAATAAAGAGAAAGAGAAACCCTCAAAAATGAGTATTCTTTTTTTTTTTTTTAAGATACACATTTCAAACAGGATGCAAAGGTACAATTGAGAAGTATAGTTTTCTTGTCCTTGTCTCCAACAGAACCACCATTGTTTTTGTTTACTTCCAGAAGGGGGAAAAAATTCTAAGCCAGCACCAGCATAATGTTTACTGATATATTTATTAAGTGTATCCAGAAAGGATCTCAGTATATATACTGCTTTGTTCCTTGCTGTACAGTGTTTTTGGAAGTTTTTCCATTATCAGTCCAGATTTATTTCATGTTTTTTCAGAGCTGCATAGTACTCTGTTTAAGAAATCCCTGCTGATGGAAACTTCCCATTTCTAGTGTCTTGGCTGTTATTACTTGAAATGGAATACAGTGCTCCTTGACTCTGTAGTCCGGTGGTCATGATTTGGTTACCTTACCTGATACGATAGCAGACCACATTTGGTTTTGATTCTTTTTACAAAATCATAAAATGTTAGTTCATAAAGTTAATGAGTACTGTTTGCTTTCAACATCTTTTTCAGGTTGGTACCCGGAGGTATATGGCTCCAGAGGTATTAGAGGGTGCTATAAACTTCCAAAGGGATGCATTTTTGAGGATAGATATGTACGCCATGGGATTAGTCCTGTGGGAACTGGCTTCTCGCTGTACTGCTGCAGATGGTAAGGGAAAAAATATTTTTTTAAAAAAATATATGCCTATTGTCTACTACACATATATGAAAAGGGATGATAATACTCAAAAGGTAATATTTCAAAGTACAAACAGATTTTTTTAAGTAGACTCCAAAAGGTAGTGGCTTAAACGGAATTCAGGAGGCAGGGGATGGGGGCAGGCTGGAGAGGGAAGGTATGAGCATGTATTGATCCTTTACCATTGCCAGGTATTTTGCACTAGGCCCTTCACATACCTTTAGCTAATTTCCTAAAACTCCTTTGGAGGTAGTTACTGTCTTAGTTTTATACATGAGCAATTTGAGGCTCAAATTTTAAGTAGAAATTAAGCAGATTGCCAGTTTTAGCTTCAAGGTGGTAAATGGTGAAACCTAGATTTGAAACTTTGATCCAAATGTAGGGATAGGGCTGCCACTTTCGTAGGTCCTGCAGGTCCTGCCTGCCCCCAGGTTGCAAAGTCAACTCTTTTGGCAAGAGGAGATAAAGGAAGAATTGGGGGATTTTCCCTTCCAGGAAACTCAAGGCTGAATCTATTCATCACTCCCATGATGTCAATATATACCTAACCAGATTGAATTTACAGTCCATCCTCCAGGGCACAAAATTGAGCATGCCTTTGGATATACCACAGGTTAAATTCTGTCTCCTTACAGCCTTGAAAGTCTGAGCTGATGTAGACGTTATGAACACTAGTTATATTCTCTTGCACACCTTGGTTCTGAAGGATTATGTTTTTGTTATGTAAGTCCTTGTTCAAGTCCTATAAATATTTGCACTGATTGATAATAAGCCTGCATACTATTTTCCTGGCGTGACAAAATTATAGTGTGCTAGGTACTATCTTCAGTGCTTCTCAGAAGTTCTCCATTCTCTTCACTTGTGTTACAGTACTTTTTTTTGGACATGAAAATATAAAGCCGACATCTTGACAAATGTAAATTAGCTTGATCCTTTTAATTTATAATTACCTAAAAACTTCCTGCAGATTGTGAAAAGACCATAGAAGAAAGTTGTGTAGCGTATTTAAACCAACTTAACGTATATTTATGAGAATACTTTGTTTTCTGAGTACTGCCAATGGTCTCTCAGTGTAGGACAGACTACCTCTGGTATATGAAATTTGATTTAGAGTACTGTGCTTTTAAAGGGAACTTAGTAGATTGCTCAGGAATGGATAGCCATTCATTCTTCTAAGATTGGGGGTTTGGCATGGGGGTGGATCCAGACCTAAGAAAGTTTGAAGCAGTTTGGATATAATTCTAGCTTAGAAGTCTAGAGGAAGAAGAGTAAGCTGTTCAGTGTAGTTTGGCTCAAAGTGGGAGAGGAAGTACATTTATTATGTGCATTTATGGAAGCTGAAATAGGTTGGCTAGGTATAGATGTTATAGGAAAATGTATTTTATAAGAACTTTAATAATATGAACTCTCCAAAGCCAACCATTGGATATGATGTTGTAGGGGATATACAAAGCCCTGCCCTTAAGCAATATATAGTTTAAGGGAATAAAATATATCCTGGACAATTGACTCTAGAGTAAGGTAAGTGTGAATTGCCTAGCTTCATGCTCAGTACATAGATATTCAATAAGTTATTTTGGATGAGTGTAATACCTGAGGAATGTAAGCGAGTGTTAATGGGAGTTTAGAGGAGTGAAAAATGCTTTGTTTTGGGGTAGAGTGGTTATCAGGGAAGATTTCATGAAAAATGAGGACAGATGCTGATATATATATATTTTTTTAAGATTTTATTTATTTGACAGAGACACAGCGAGAGGGAACACAAGCAGGGGGAGTGGGAGAGGGAGAAGCAGGCTTCCCACCGAGCAGGGAGCCCGATGCGGGGCTCCATCCCACCATGATCTGAGCCGAAGGCAGATGCTTAATGACTGAGCCACCCAGGCGCCCCGATGCTGATATTTCTAAAATGCTTTGCATGTGCTATGAAATAATTGCAGTCAGGGATTTCTGACCCTTAAGTCAGAAATCGGGGCAGGAGGGGACAGTGTGAACATTGCTCAAGTGAGTACTTTAAAATTGGTTGATGGCTAATTGTTGATGGTTCAGTTCAGTGACTCTCAGACTTTAATGTGTACTAAACTCCTGATAAAGTTATGTTGACTCAGTAGGTCTGGGTTGGGGCCTGATACTTCTATTTCTTGCAGGCTACCAGTCAGTGCCAGTGCTGCTGAGCTGCGGACCACATTTTGAATAGCAAGAGTTAAATAGACATTTTAGAACGTCAGTACTGAGTCACTGGAAGTGCTTAAGCAGAGACGGACTATCCAGGCGTCAAGGATTCTTCCATTTGGAGAGGCTGGAGTTAGATGTCCTCCTTTATGATTCATTGTTTATTAACTTATGTCCTATCCAGGAGTAGGAGTATCTGTACAAGGTTTAGGTCCATATACAGACCCTTTATATGCAGTTGCTCTTTAGTGAACGGTTTCTGTCAAGGGGAGACAGCACAGTGATTGAAAACACAGACTTTAGTGGCAGAGATGGATTCAAATTCCACTCTGCCACCTACCAGCTGTATGCCCTTGTGAAAATTATGGAACCTTTCTGAGCTGCTTTCCTATCTGTAAGATAGAGGTAATGTCACCTTCACTCTGTGGAGGTGTAAAATGGAAGGAAATAACGTATGTGAAGTTCCTAGTCAGGGTAAGTGCTTATTAAATATTAGTATTAACTTTTAACTACATTATCCTATTTGAGTATGCCTAAGAAAAAAGGAACCATTTATTTTGTTGAATACATTTTGTCTGTGAAGGCACATTCTGAAGGCTTGTTGGGAACCCTATTTGGAGTATGCTTGTGATTTTTTTAAAAACTGTTTTTGGCAGCTTTTGTGAGGAGGGCGTGTGACTCTGAGGTACATAATTCCTCATGCAGAACGTGTAGGGGGTTAGGATGTGTCACAGAATAAAGATGGTTATGAGACTGACCCCCAAATTGTCAGATGGAAGCACCACTGTTTACAGTCTGATTTGAATTGTGAGAAGTACTTAAAGGGATTTTATAGCCTCGACTTGCAAATATTGTTGGTTCCCTGTGGTCCTATCTATGTATGGAGATAGGCATATTCCTCATACAGTAGACGAGAAAGCTCCTTATGCAAACTTAGCAGGCTTATGCTAAACAGTGTAGTTTTTTATTTCTCCTAAACTAGCATTTGGGTCATAATGTGGTAGAAGTAGTTGAGAATCTTTTTATCTCCTGTCATTATAGCATTTAACAGTTGGGAAAAGGTGATACAGAGTATGTTTCAGAAAGGTTGTTCCAGTTTGGAAGTCAGGAAGATTTGAATTAAAATGATTTTTTTTTTTCATTTTAGGACCTGTAGATGAATACATGTTGCCATTTGAGGAGGAAATTGGCCAGCATCCATCTCTTGAAGACATGCAGGAAGTTGTTGTGCATAAAAAAAAGAGGCCTGTTTTAAGAGATTATTGGCAGAAACATGCTGTAAGTTAGCTTTTCATTTGAAATTCCAATAAAATGCTTTTCAGAGGAGTGATTTCTATCTCTGCACACTTCTGGGATGATTTTCTGGGGAGGTTATCTTCATACAGGATATTGTCTATAGAGTTCTACAAACAACAGAATTTTAGGGCTATGAGGGGAGATGGTGAAGTCATTAAACCTAAGGGGCTTGCATTGCTATGGTCCTGTTTGGAGAGCTTCCCAGGGAAAGGAGTACCTGACTCTGAGGATGTGGATAGGTGGGTAACCTTGATGATCAGCAGCTTCCTTTAAGATGGTATTTTTAAAGTAAAGCAGTTTTCTGCTTTCCATGTTTTTGATTTGGGATTGGACTTTGTTCAGGTTCTTAAGAATGCTCTAAAACTAGAGACTTACGTAGGTGAAGAATGGGACACTATTGCCCTGGTTATTGTGGTCCAAATATAACTGGAAACATGGATTAAAAACCAGGTAGAGAATCTCAATGATGCTTTTCCAACCTTTTTTTCTATTTAACTGCAAGACAGAAATGCCGGTATTAATGAAGAAAACAATAAAAATTGTTTTAAAAAAAATTAGCCTTGGTTTTGAGTCTAGATCAGGCGTTAGCATTGAACTGACCCGGTTTATAAGCAGTGGCTAGGGATTTTTGGAATTAAAAAAACCTAATTACCTCCTGTGATAGTCACGGATGCTATAAGAAGTTTGATTTTTCTTAGTGCTTTTCGTCCATTTCCTGCATACAATAGATACGCATAAGTGAATGTCGACACATAACACCAAACTTGGCTAATCTTGAAACTTTGACTCACAAAAATAACAATTTCTTTATGGACACTTCATCATTTCCTAATAGAAAACAAAATCTGCTACAGTGTCTGAATATGTTTTTCATTTTTAGGGAATGGCAATGCTCTGTGAAACGATAGAAGAATGTTGGGATCACGATGCAGAAGCCAGGTTATCAGCTGGATGTGTAGGTGAAAGAATCACTCAGATGCAAAGACTAACAAATATCATTACCACAGAGGACATTGTAACAGTGGTCACGATGGTGACAAATGTTGACTTTCCTCCCAAAGAATCTAGTCTATGATGGTTGCACCATGTGTCCACAGTGAGAAACAGGACTCTGAACTGGAGCTGCTAAGCTGATGAAACTGCTCACAGTTTATTTTCTGTGAGAAATGAGTAGGAGGTCTCCTGGACATGTCAGGAAGAAGACCCTCATTTAAAAATGTGGCTCTGGGAGACTTACAGCATTGCCTGCAGCAGAGACGTGAAGGACATGAGACTAAGAGAAGTTGCAGACTCTATAAAGAAACTTTTGAAAAAGTGTACATGAAGAACGTAGCCCTCTCCAAATCAAGGATCTTTTGGACCTGGCTAATCAAGTGTTTGAAAACTGACATCAGATTTCGTAATGTCTGTCAGAAGACACTAATTCCTTAAATGAACTACTGCTTTTTTTTTTTTAAATCAAAAACTTTTCATTTCAGATTTGAAAAAGGGTAACTTGTTTTTATTGCATTTGCTGTTGTGTTTGTATGAATGACTATTGTAATGCCAACACGACACGGCTTGTGAATGTTTGGTGTGCTGCTGTTCTGTGTACATAAACAGGCATCAGAGTGGGGTACAGGAGAGAGGCTTCCAAGCATTACTTTAACCTCCCTCAACAAGGTATACCTCAGTTCCACGGTTGCTAAATTATAAAATTGAGAACACTAACAAAATTGGAATAATAAATTGATCCATGTTTTGTAACAAGGTATTACAAATTCACTGTGTTAAGAAAAAAAAGGTAAGCTATGCTCAGTGCCAACACTAAGTGGCCATTCATTAAGCAGTGTTTTAGCTTTTCTTGTGCTAGCTTGTAATTTAAGGGAAAAAAGTACTGTTTTTTGAAATGAAAAAATGATGTCATTTTCCCCTTTTCCCCATGTTTTAAAGCTTCACCTTATATCCAGTTCCCAAATTATTGCATATTTACCTAAGTATTTTTTTAGGTGTGCTGTGTTTGGGGAATATTTGAAAATTTAAAGCATGATTTAAATTTTTTAAAGTGAGCTGTGACACTGGAAAGCTCTTCATTTTTATTCTTTTAAAATAGATTTTTTTCCTATTTATATATGTAAAATTGTAGTGTATTTCTTTTCACCGAACAGTGTGTGGGACATTCTTTATCACTGTTTAAGGATCACCTCAGGAAGTGTCATTACCCAGAATTCCTCACTCTCTGCTTTGAGACTTGTAACTTTATCACTATATTTCTGCTTGGTGCCATCTTGTCAGAGTAATACTTTGATGTCTGTGATATGTAAAGAATTATCCTAGGATAGAAATTTTAAATTTTAAGCACAGATTTCAAATGTTACTGCTTTAAAACAAATCAGGGATAACAAGTTATAAACTTAAAATATGCAATGACATTTAGAGGTAACCGATGTTGATATAGGTAATATAGCCTTGCTTCCTCCTGCAAATTGCTTTCACACTATAACTTTTAGGGTAGTTGATGCCTTATCCTTGATAAGAAAATGGAATTGATGGTAGGTAGGTGCCAAAGTGCTTTTCAAAACAATACTGGATTAGAATATAATTGGACTGTTCCTCAAATTTTTATAGGCCAAAGTAAAACAGTAATTTCCTGAATTTCTAGATTACTGACCAACAAATAGCCAGTATTATGCTATGTACTTTCGTCAGGTCATTTTAAAATCCATACATTGATTTTATAAAACAATTTTTTACATGTCACTATCAGGAGCTCACTGTGAATGTATTACCTTCATATGGCTATTTAACCACACAGTACACTACATTTTACATATAATGTGCACTTAATCTCTGGGAATAATAAATTATATTATTTATAAATAATGCATAGGTCAACAGACTCTAAAGCAGGGAGGGAAAGAAGAGTAATAGCATTGTTGTCTGCGTGCCACACACCATGCAGAACTTTGTGCTCTTGGGTCACATATGTACCCAAGTTTTCATTGTTTTCCTAAAGAACTCCCTTTTCAATGTTGAGTTCACCTCTTTATTTCAAAAAGTACTTGACATCTCAACTGATTTGGTTTAACTTCCACTTTGAAACTAACTAATCAAGATGGGAAAGTGACAACGTTCACACATAGAAATTGTCCATCTCCTGAAGACTAAGTTCTACCTGTTCTAAACATTTAATTTTAAAAGAAAAAATCAAAACAAAAACAAGGAATATTATGATGAATGTTTGGCTTATGTGAGCACTAGTGATAAATTTTATAAGATCAGTTATTCAAAAGATAGTTTTCTCTTCATGTTAGAAAAAATTTTTAGAAGTCCTGGGTATTGTACTTAACTCTAGCTAACCAACTTTAAGACTTGTATCCTTTTGAAAACTATATTAATAGAAGAACACTTTTTATAAGCAGTAAAATAAGAATGTTCCAGTGACTACCTGTCCTGATACCTAGTCTTGTTAAAACTTTCATTTGCAGGGCATTTTCAGGTTTGGTTTACAGTCAGCGCAGAGTGGGCAAGCTTACAAAAAGTTTGAGCTGGGATACTGAAAAAAAGAAAGATCAAAGAATGAGAAAAATGATGACTTCTTTGTTTTGGGGTGAACTGAGACCCCAGTAATTTTTTCCTCATGTGTATGGTGCTCCTTACGATTCGTCTTGTATTTTGCCTTTCTGATACCCATCAGAACTGCTGCTCTAACTTCCACTCTTTACCTTGCCCAAATCTCCATGTAAGGAATGCTTTATGATCAACTGCCATAGGACTGATGGATTAACCAGTGTTTGGCTTTATTCGAAGTCTATGCCCTGCACAGCTCTTTGTATGTATTTTAGATGCTAGGACGTTTTTAGCATGTGAAGTGTGACTCTTGTTTGAATGTTTATTACAGGTACCTTGTGAATTCCAGAACAGAGACTGTGCCTCAAAATTGTTGGTCCCATGAATTTGCACTACCTTTCATGGTGATGTTTTGAAAATGCAATCAGGAAAAAACCCCAAGAAGTTTGGAATTTAAAAATAGAATCATCTATCATGAAATTGAAAAGGAACCTCTTCTTCCTCCTTTCCTCAATCCTAAGTAACAGCTACATTTAAGTAAAATGCAGACGGGTAGGGGAAAAAATACCCTGGCCAGATGATAAGTTTAAGTGGAATTAAACTTAACTATTTAAAAAAAAAAAAAATGCTTCTCCACAAATATTTTCCAGTTTCTCTTTTTTACCTTTTTAAAAAATTACTTTTTAGAAACACTTGGTATAATATGCATAAAATTATTTACTGATTTCTGGGCAAAATGATACAAGTAGCATCTTGATTGAACATCATTTACCTCAGATATTCAACCAGCAGTACATTTTTTATGCAGTCTCAATCCACATCCTATTTGTTACCTCTCAAAATATTGGTAAGCAATTATTTTAGCTTTACTCTGTATTTCTTGTCAGTGTTTTGGGCACAGGTTGTTGTACTACTGTCAAATTGTACTTGCTATTTTTTTCTGCAAGTATTTAACAAAAAGTTAAAAAAAAAAAGCCCCATAAAACCCCACCTTGGATAAGTGATTGTTAAATATTGTACAATAAAATGTATGCTATCCCCATTCCATCCCTGAGTTAAATAAAAAAAATGAATATGGTATGATTTGCTTATGCAGTTTTTCTTTAGCTATACATTTTTCTTAAAAAGGGGAACAGTAGCTTTGTCATTTCTGGCGAGGCTCACACCTTGAGATATGCAAGAATGGGGATAGTGGTGAAAGGGAAGTTTGTCAAGGGTGGCATTTCCCCCCTTTACCGTCTAAGCAGATTGTATTCCCCACAAGATATGTACATTAGTCCCGCCAGTTTTAGGAAACCAGAGGCTAGCAGGCATTAGGTACCTTGTCTTTTCATATGGAAACAGAAAAACGTGGTTTAGGAAATTGTCATCAAATATACAAACCACTCTTCCTAAAGGATATTAACTAGTTTACTGACTGAATGGAACAATTCTGGTATTTTCACTTAGGGTAATCAGTAAGAGTAATCATCAAGGAAGCTAGCTTTCATTACATTTTTAATGTTGCCAAGGCTTTTGTTTATCGTGTGGCTTTCAAAAGAAGGGATGGAAAACCCCACGGGAGCACTGTGTCATCGTTCACACCAATGGATTCTCAACCCGCACTGCCTTCTAAACCAAGTGAAAACGCAAACTAGGATGGAATATGCACTGAATTGCTACCGAAAGACTGAAATTGTTTTCCACAGCATGTTCTGCTAAACTGATTTTTTTGGAAAGTTAATACATAGTATATACTCAACATACATAGCATTAGGATATGGTATGTTTGGACCAGCAAGTTTCAATTCCTCAGAGCCATTCACCACATGAACTGGAGGTGTTGTGTTTTGTTTTGAAGAAGATCCTGTTTGGGATAGGGTACTTGGGATAAGGTCATGTGAGTCAAAACTGCACTGAAACCTCTAACACTCTTCCTCACCTGTTCTGCTAACCTTTTCTCTAATTTGCGTTAAGAATTGTTTCACTGAAAATGAAAACTCACCCTGCGACTTACAGTTTTCTAATCTGTATACTGGGTGTTGGTGGATCTTCTGCAGGTGTTCTGTGACCAGGAAGGCACATGAGAGCTATCAGCCTTTTAGTGGCATCTTAAGCTAATAATTTGCAGTCTTGAAATAAAGTTGTTTAGATGCGTTCACAGTGACTGCCATTAAGGCAGATAATACTTCCCTAAAATAGTTCAGAAAATTTTCTTAAAGGGAAAACTCTAGCTCAAGTGTAAAATCCTTGCTTCCAGTAGCAGTGATGCTACCAATGCCAAGTATTTTGGCAAAATATCCCCTAAAAATCTGTAGACTATTGCACAGAACCAGTATGTAAGCCTTACCTTTACTGAGACACTGCTGAAAAGTAAATGACAGTGATCTGAAGACTTAGAAGGCAGGGAAGGAACAGCTACGTCTGCAAAAAAATAGGTTGAACTGAAGATTTTTTTTTTTTACACACATAAATATTACAGTCCAATCTATACCTGATACTTCTTGAAAACCAGATAAATCACTTCTTAGAGCATACTTTAAATAATACGTGACGAGAACCAGTTAATGAATTTTAGTTCTTGATAGTGGGGCTTTGGTGTCAGTCAAACCTGAGTTGAATTCCAGGGTCTGTCAATCATTCTCTTCCTGTGTGATTTTGAACACTTGCCACTACAATGGCAATTTTCTCAACTGTAAATAGTCCCTGAATATCACAGGGCGTTTGATAGTTAAAAGGATTATGAACAACACGAGGATGGAGACTGCCTTTTGAAAACAGTATGTAATCAAATATTCTTGAATAAATGAAGTCACTAACACTTGGCAAATGCTTATTAAATTTCATTCTAAACAGATACCTGGAATTAGTTCTTGGACTCCTGAATTTATAAGGTGAGCATTTCTACATTCCCTTTAGAGATTTACTTTTTGATACAAATAAATTTAGTCAATAGTGCCAAACACTTCCCATTAATTGTGGGAATGGTTTCCAGGCATTTCCTAAACTCCCTGTTAAAAACAAATTCTGATCCTTTGGGGCCTAGGAGAGGCCCAAGAATTTTTTTTTTTTTTTAAACATTTCATGACATCTTTAATGAAACTGGGAAGAATTTGCCTTTTAAAAAATTCTACAAGGGATTCTTCTGTAGATGATATGATTAAGTACCATCTTTTGAGAAGCCTGGAAGAAATTCATGTTCAAACTTTTCACTTTTTTCTTCCATGTGAACTATCTTCTGCCAAACTGGTCAGTCTCCTGAACCAGAAGACCTGGGTCTGGGGTAGAATCCAAAATTTCCATGGATAGAGAAAAGAAAATGTGGCACCTCCCAGTGGACCAAAAGATTCCTCAGTACACCTCAACTCTTACCATTGTTTCTTTACTGCTTTTAGGATTTGTAAAAACACTTGGCTGCTGGGTTGAAACGAACTCTTCAAATATACCGCATAAATACTTGACAAGTGTTAAATAAGCATATGGTTCACTCCCTGAAACAGTCACATTTATTTCTTTGCACTGCTACTTACAACATAATCCAAATCACTGGAATTATAAATCATGTAACTGCTCATGATTCAAAGGCAAGACACAGTCAAGACACTACATGTGTAACAGTCTCCCATAAATACAAAAATACAGATTTATAAATATAAGAAAATGTAATAATATATCTTGCTAAAGGACAATAGCCTTGAGTTCCTTACAGAAGAATGCCTGAAACTCCATTAACTGAAGCCACTGGTTATATTCATAACCAGCTTAGTGAGGATGTTGCCCACTGCCTAACATCTGTAGGACAGTTGGGGTATTTCTGCAAAGCATTCATAATTTGAGTATTATCCAAAAGTAGTTTCATCAGCTGGTACTCTCTCTGTGTATTTACCGAAGTCCTTTCCATGGGCCTTATTAATTCTAACTGTTGTAAGTGTTCAAAAGCCTGGAAGATGAAAGAAATAGTTTAGGTTGAATAGGGGAAGTAAAATAATGTTAATCCAGAGAACAATTAGGGTTGTGTTTAACTGTAGAACAGAGTGCCAGGAAACAAAACTTAACAGAAATCAGTAGGGATCAAAAACAACTCTCATCAACCTCAGAAAAACTTCATCTATCAGGTGAGGCAGTGTCAATATACAGTTATCTGTCCCTGCATTGTTGAATGTGAACAGGGCAAACTCTAATTCAGTCTGCACAATACGGTTTTTCTTCCAAACCTCATTCTGTACCATATCACCTGCTAGTACTTAAGGGAAGGGCTTCCAGTTCTCTCTATAAAAATCTAACATCTGGTAAGACCAGTACTTTAATTACCTAGGTTATTAAAATTTGCATTTACATTCCCTTTCTAGTTTTGTAAGACTTTGCTACGTAGAAGTTTAATACAGCTGCAAAAAAAGCCAGAGGCAGGAAAGACCCCTAGGAGTACACCAAGCCTATTCAGCTGACCCTATAAATAAATGATTCAGCAGAGTGGTATGGGCATGAAGGAGAGAAGACAGCCTCCTTTTTCCCTCTGGAGAGCATGCCACAACCTGTCACAAAATCCCTTTCCTCCATCTTCCCCCTCTTAAAAGGGTTGTTTATTATCTGTTTCCTCTCACCTCTAATATTCACGTATTATGTCTTTTCTAACTCTGTTGTTTTAGGTATTTTATTGGCATATGAAAAAAAAGCCATTAAATCATGACATGGTAACTATTAAATATTGACCCAGTGAAACACATTCTGGAGCTTTCTATTCTTACAACCACACTGTAAAAAAATATCACTGGAATATATTCTTTATGTATCATAAAAAGTCTTCTGATGAAAAGAGAAATAACACAACCACCATTCATTTCTGAAAATGAGAAAATACCAGAGGCTGCAGGTATTATTGGGGCTGAATAAAATTGAGATTTAAAATATTTCTAGGCAGCAAAATACTTTATTTAAAATGCAGAAACGAGCAGGAACAAAATACAAATCACAAGAATTTAAATGTTCATGTAACCCTTTGTACTCATAACCTCCACAAACTATGACTCTCAGACAGACATGGACATCAGGAAGGGAAAAAACCAACCTCCAGTAGGATGAACACATTCCCTGTTCTTTTAAAGAAACAGTAATGCCCTGTACTCACATTTTTTTATTTGGTATAAGAAATAGAATTCTGACCATTAAGGCCTATAAAGGGTGATAAAGGACTATGGATCCATTGCTAGAAAGAAAGAAAGGAAGAGAGAAAGAAAGAAAAAGAAGGAAAGAAAGGAGGGAGGGAGGGAAAGAAAGGAAGGAAGGAAGGAAAGAAGAAAGGAGGGAGGGAAGGAGATGCTTTTCCCCATAAAGTCCTCTAGAGCTGCACTGTCCAGTAAGGTGACCACAGAGGGCTACTGCTATTCGTGGAACCTGATTTTTAATTTTATTTAAGTTTATTAATTATTAAATTTAATGTAAAATTTGATACTCAAGTCAATTAGAAAATTTTAAGTTCGTTTGGAATAATTCAGAATGTAAATCTACTTCAGCTACAAATTTTATGAAATCTAAAGAACAAATATTTCCAATGAATATTTAGTGAATTAAGATGCGCTTTAAGTGTAAACACACATGAAATTTCAAAGGCTTAATACAAAACAAAATAAAGTGTATCACAGTAATTTTCTGTATCGATTATAGACTAAAATGCTTTTGGTATATTAGGTTAAATAAAATTTATCATTAAAGTTAATTTCACCTTTTTAACGTTTTGTTGCTACTAGAAAATCCAATATTACACTAGTGGCTCACATATTTCTACTGGACAATGGTACACTCTAATGAAGTTCCTCAAGTTTTAAAACTCATGATTTAACCAACCCCCTAATAAAACTTTGTATGTCCTCACTAGCCCATATTTTATTCTTTAGTTTTTAATGGCTAATATTGTCATTTTTATCTTTTTACTGCTAAGATTATAAAGCCAACCTCTGGGTTGTACAGGGACAGAATTTTATTGATGAACTGTAATGTATAGTTCTTTGCACAATGCAGTGCTAGAAACAGACAGTAGAGGGCAGTATACTTCCACAAACTGGGAAATGCCTGACTGCTTTAGAATTATTCAAACGTTTCATTTTGAG